GTAATAAACCCAAATTCCTCTGGTCGAATTATAACTAGATGAGGAGGTTAAGAATCGTAAAAACCAAGATAGCTTTCACCTGTAAGATCTCTCACCCCCCCCCCCCTCCCAGCCCTCCACCCCACCACCACCTTGTTTATTTCCAACCAAATTTTGTGATAGCTTTACAAGTAAGATTAAAACAAGCAATAATGGACGTCAAATGAGGCACAAAGCCAAGTTTATTTATACAAAAAAATCCAACAGAAGCAGCAGAGATTTAGTACAGCACAGCAATGTTTGAAAGAAAAAGATTTTTCAGTTTTGTAATCATAGTAAAAGTATTAATTTTATAGACATTCTATTCATAAAATATTATTGTTTTCCATTTAAAAGAAAATGGCAAATGAAGACAAAAGATAATCAACTGGTGATAAATAACATGTATGGGATATGACAATCAAATGCACAGATTTAATAATAATATTAATAAGATTTAATTGATCAAGGAAATTTGTAAAGCAATGTACTTCCACTGTGAAACAGTTCTAGCAACTTCAAAACAGTCTGCACTTTGAATGAGGAAGACTATTTTTATGATAAGATTTTAGTGTTTAAATAAAGATTAATTGATTGATTGATTGATTGATTGATTGGTTGGTTGGTTGATTGATTGATTTGATTGGATTGATTGATTGATTGATTGATTGATTGATTAATTGATTGATTGATTGATTGATTGAATGAGCTTGGAGCACAGACTCTTGTCAATTCGCATTTCACTACGATTTTTGGTTTTGTGAGTGACTGTTAAATGATGGGCTGAAATAACTTACATGTTCTAGAAAAAATTAAGTTGTTCCTTCTGATGGGAACAATTTAACATCAAATTTGTTTCCTTTTTTTAATGTTCTGTGATGTCGCTATAGCATAGAATCAATACAAATTTGATTCTCTGGAACTTAGAATACAGTTCAGAATAAGCAGAATCACTGGAGGAAAGACATTACCCAAACTGGAGAAAACTAGATCAAAACAAAAAAGGTTTCCAAAAAATAGTTTTAACTTATTACTTTCCCAGCCTCCAAGTTATAACAGGTCAGTTTCAAGAACAAATTACCTGCAGTTTGCAGGAGAAGAAATGCAAACAGAAGAAAAAAAGTGCTATTAACTAAACTTACTTTTACTTCCAATCCCTTAGTCTAAACTTCTAAGTAACATCACTAACTCAATCTTTCTACCCCTACCTTTAAAAAAAGTTTATTATTATTTTATAATTTTTATTGTATTATTGATGCAAATCATGGCCGTGATTGCAATGTAGGAATGGTCTCACTTATCAAAATTATACCACTGGTGAACAGGTTGTAAAGAACAAGGTGTGTGTGAACAACAATGTAAACAGAGTTTTTATCACAAAATAGATTTTGGTTAAGTATCTATTGCAGCTGTATACAGTTGTCATAATATGTTACAATCGTCCTTCTTGTCTACATTTCCATCTTGGTCGTGATTCTCTATTTCTCTAATAAGAGACTGGAAAATTTCTTGCACGCTCTGCGGAGAGAGAAAACAGAAATTGTTAAATTATTAGTGCAGCAACGCAACCTTTGGTCAGAAACATTTTTCATCTGATATAAAAATTTTAACACCCGAACCACTTAATCCATAAAACCTTACTTCACTTTTAACATGTTAATTAATTCATACAATACAAAATTCATTCTGCAAAAAGGCTCGTAAAACCACCATTTCCACTCTTTCAAATAACTTAACTAAAATTTGAAACTGAAGTAATTTTCCATGTTAATTATTAAGGACAGCTTTACTATATTTCTTTAGCATTTTTAATTATTTCTAACAACAGAGCAAATATTATGAAAGGTAAAGTTCACTTAAGAACTGTTCAGTTTGTAAAACACAATCATAAATTCATCAAGTCTGTAGCAGGGCTCAAAAAAAGTGCCATAGCTCTTCTTGCCAGGCAAGTAACTTTTCATTCTTACTTGGCTGATGGGCGAGGGTCCCGGCAAGTAATCTACCAACTAAATAAAAAAAATGTAAACTAAGACTTTCCCAGGGCAAGCAAAATTTGAGAGCTACTTGTCGCAAGGCAAGCTAGCATTGAACTTTTTTCTACTCAGGTGTAGAATTACATATTATTGAACCTTCAACTTACACTATTTTCCTTAGCTGAGGATTCAAAGAATGCTGCTTTCCATGAGTCAGCAAGTGTTTTTCCAGTTTTATAAGTGACAACCCTACAATGTACAGCATATGGAAATTTAAAACCCAAATAAACATTGAGAATCTAAGCCCTCACATTATGATAAGGGAGAAAAATATCAATGATTCATAAAAAATAATGAGTTTAGAGGCATTACATATTTGAGCACACTGAAATAAAATACTGCTCAGCTCATCGATCAATCAACAGTTTTGCCCAAATTACAAGCAGTGTTCTTTATAGCATTTCATTGACCTTGTGTTAACTTTTCTCTGTAAGTAATTCAATGGCAAGAACAAGAAGACAAACTACACAGTCAATTAACATTGTTTAGTATTCATAACAGTCAACAGGCATTTTCCACCAGACATAAAATGGACATGAAATTTTATAGATCTAATCTTTACCTCTCCATGTGCAAATCTGTTTTGTTACCCACAAGGACCATAGGAACACTAAAAAACAAGAAATAAATCCACCCAATTTAGTCTCAATATTTATACAACTAAGTCAAGAGGCAACTGCATCCTCTTAATAAATTAGCTAGTATCATTAATATATATATACAGAATGAGTGCAAAAGGGCTACTGTACGTACTAGCCTTTTGCATGCATGCATTCCATGCCTATAATTCTAGTACCCAGTTTTATAGCCCTACTGTGGAAGCAAAACACTACAGCTAAACAGCCTCTGTAGACATTCTCCTCTCTGCACGCATTGCATGCCTATTTAATTAGACCCTGAACATAATAAACTGTACTTACTAATTTTGACCTGACATATCCAGTAACTTTTCATGAATAACCTTTACAACCTCAAAACTAGAGAAACAGAAAAAGCAAAAGCTATCACTTTTTAGTCAAATTCACATTTATAACCAAAATAGATTTACAGTCTCATAAATTAAAACTTCGCCAGGCAATTTCGAAAGTATCCTTTGATAAGAATTTTAATAGCTGCAATGTACTATAAATTTTAAATAAATAATAAGCACTTCCTACTAGGTTTGTATTCAGTTACTGAGCTGCTTAGATCCTACATGTATCTATAGTACTCTCTGTGGTTGATGCATCCAAAGCAAGTTCAGAAATATAATAATTATAATATAATAATGAGTTAATTAAATTATTTATCTTTTTTGATGAAAGAAATACAGGTCTTGACCAAGCTTGTTTGGTCTGAAAGATGACGGAACTTTCTCTTTTTTTCCCTGTTTCTGGGCCAAGATACACTTGTGGTCCATAAACACATTATCACAAAATGGTGTTGAAGAACAAGGTTCTAATTAATGTAATGTTACCTTTTTGCAGATGTTACTGCATATACAAGTACATATCCATGAATCCCAACTGAGTAAGTCTGAGGGAATATTGAATATTCATCCTAACAATAACAAAACATGACAAAACAAAAGAAACATGATTAATTCAGCAAGTTAAAACATCTAGATATATTACCCTAATAAAAAACTTCTTGGCAATATTCATCAAACTGTGATAGAGAATGCCATCATCTGTCACCATTTCCTCCTCATGAGTGTCTGCCTTTAAAAAATTGTGGAGCAGCCACCTACATTTGCCATCCACTTGCCTTATGGCGGAGCTCTGGCGGCCCAAAGGGCTGCTACGCGAACCCCATACTCATATAGGAAAGAAAAGGAAACCCACAAGTTGATTTTCTNCGGTTAAAAATTGTTTAAGACACCCAAACAGTTAGCCTTATGATTTCTCAATGAATGCACTCCCGGGTTTTTATTTACTCGTGTAATTTTAAAGGCAACATGGTTTGATGAAATGAAGAAGATTAACGTGATCGTCACTTGATGGTTAATCTCAAAAAGGTTAAGTACATAATCTTCAATTCCACACTTGAGCAAATATATGATTGGTTTGACGAAACCGAAAGTTAAATTAGTTAAATTTAAAGTAAAACTATGAATATGAAGGACTTCATTATGAATGATATCCGATCCTTAGACTGCCCATTAGAACCTAAGCTAATAGATACACGACAGAAAGAGAAAGTACCAAAATATGAAGACTATTGAAAATTTACTCACTCTTGAACAAGGAGATATTAACAGTACATGTATGTTTACCTGGCCGGCAGTATCTACGACCTCCAGTATGTATTCTTGACTGTTGTGTTTCAGCTTGGTGGTAAATGCTGAGAAAAATGACAAGGCAGAAGTTACATGTAAAATTCCCACAAGGTTAACAAACTTAAATCTTACATCACGTAAGGGTCCAAGGTTCCACTTCCGATTTTTTTTTTCGTCAAACGAATTCAACAAAATCACTCACTGTTCTCAATTGTCGGATCGTATGAATCCACAAATTGTCCCTCCACAAACTGAATTGTAATTGAAGATTTTCCTGAAAAGAAAAATACAAAAAAATACAAAGAAATTCAGTGAAAATCGATAGCATGGTCACGCAGCAGAAGCTTCCAGCAAGATCTGTTCTACAGGTAGCGAGCACGATCCAAAAATTACCGACAGAACGGAATCCCATCACGACGATCTTTCTTGATTTTGCTGGCGCCATAGTTAAATGAAAAATGGAGCTTTCTTTGACGTACAATACACTAAATTCCAGATAAAAACGGCCTAATTTTCAACTACATTTTGACTTCCACAACAGCACCGGTGCGGAGGAGTAATAATATCCCAGTATGCAATGCGCTTCTACAAGCGCCAGCTGTTTACCAGCGGTCATTCCCATTGATGAAAAGGACGAGAAAGTATTGGAGATTGGATTCATTATTTTGGTTTTTTTTCGATTCGGAAAGTTT